ATTCCACCCTGAGAAAAGAACAGCTTGTGTTTAAACTTCTGAGCACAACTGAAATTGTTCATGAAAGCAGAGATTGAGATATGCTGACCCATCCTGAATGTGTGGTGAGACCGTTCAAACATCCACCAAGAGAGAAAATACACATAAGGTATAGGTTTAAAAACTGCTCATGAGATATGACATTTAACTTAAATGTCATGTCTAAAGTTTGGCATTTCATACAGCAAACCATATTGCCTGTGGTATTGTTTTCCACTGAACCCTGCTGCTTTGAGTGAGTCCATGTTACCAGTTTTAGAAAATGTGGATGAGGCCTCAGCGCTCTTTTGTGGGAAACTTTCATCATTCATCATTTCACTTTCACCACAGCCTATTTGTCTGGTTGTGTTTAACATTAAGAGCAAAGTAATTTTGTCCAATCACGCTGTGCAGTCTGCATTTAGTCATGAGAAAATCATGCACATGTGGATCTGTTTCCACACTCACGTAGTGCACAGCGAGACCTACAGAGAATAAAAATGAAAAGATAGCATGACTGAACAAAGCGAGAAGACACAAGAAATAACACAACTGTGAGAAGTGTGAAGTCATACTTACTAAATATTTTTATGTATAAAAGGTTGTCATAAATGTTTATATCAACCTATCATACGAGCCTTGAACTTGACCTCCGGGTACAAAGAACCACTTTATGGCACTTTAATTGTAATCTGCTATCTATATCTGATAGCGGTTAACATTTGACCACCACAAGCAGCTGTTTTTTGGACACATGTACAAATGTCTGTTGTGATTTAACCACAATTCTCATGTTAGCTGTTGTTTATAACTGTTTGTAAAACCTTACTAGACCAACTGGCATGCATCAGCAGCATGCTAGTGTTTTATGGGAACAATTAAAATCCATAAACATAATATTAGTGGTCTTTTTCTGGACTGGAAAATAAAAAGTGGGTTGGGTCTACTAGCCATTTCATTTGGGGCTAGCTCATGAGCACCATATGCTACACCCTGAACTGCAGCCAGTTTCTTTAGACTGCTGTGGAGTTATTAGTACAAAACAAATTTCACAGCAGTTGGTGACGTAATCACAACCTTTAATCTTTTGATTTGTGTTGCTGAACAAAACTATTCTTATCTACAAAACAATCCAAATTTGGAGGTCAGGGAGGAGGAGGGTGTGGATGACGACTAGGTCATCTCAGCTTTGATGCTATGTTCCGGCTTTTCACGAAGTTTCATGAAGTTCAGCTTTAGTTTGGGAGTTGACCGACAGTTTGTCAATTTTTTTTTAGAATAATCAGCAGAGAAACATATTGTCACTAAATATGATCCTATTAGTTAATAGTTTTTCAGTATAAAGTTCTTCTCTTCTACATTTTTTGTCATATTTTACTTTTTCCTTGCTAATTGTATCTGACACCTGTGGAGAATATTATTTCATCCAAAGTACTTTAAATGTTTATTGAATACAATGCATAGTCAAAGTCTAAAGTGGGGTCTTTAGATCTTTTTGGCTTAGGACCTTCTTCTCATGTTTCGGATCTCCTTTAGTTTTTAACAAAGAGACGTTTCCCTACAAACTTCCCATGCGGTTTCATTTAACCACACGCCACAAGAATTTGAGGCACAAAGATGTAAAGTTATCCCATCTGGACGTAATTTTTACAAACTAAAAGATTACAGAAGTTGGCACAATCCTCCAACAACAGTGGGGAACCTAACCCCAATGTGGTGAACCAGAACAACCATTGGCATCGTGGCAAACAGAGGTGGTTTGAAGTCACCTCAGATAATAGAAGTAAATCAACGAGTTGCTAAAGACAGTTTGGACGTATTGGTTACTTGATTTGCACAGTTCCTATACGCTTGGGCTCTCTGAAAAGTCGCACAGCATGCATATATTAGAAACACATGCTTGTCTGACAGGGTGAACGGGTTGTGGAGCACAGACTTAAGATCTGGAATGAGATTGTATGCTTCTT